TCCCTCTGACCCTCCTCCCTCTCATGCTCTCTGTATCTCATTCTCTCTGTCTCAAATAAATAAATAAAATCTTTAAAAAAAAAAAAGTCCCCTGCTTTTATTTCACTTTATTTTTTCAGATTTTATAGCAACGTGTATATGGAGACAAGTTGAAACTAAGAAAGCAAGCAGCTTTTGGAGATGTTTGGCCTTTTAAGTGTAATTGAATTGTCTTTCGGATTTTGCATTGTTAGAAAGAGGCTGTTTATATTTTATTCTGGAAACTATTATTAGGATATTGTAATTTAAGGTAAAATGAAAAAAGTTGAATAGATAATACTTTGAATTAATACTTTCTTCATTGATATTGCATTTTATGATAGCTTTATTATAAATGATGAGTGGTTTATTACATATTTTTAACTATTGGCAATGGGGTTGAGAGCTTTAGTTTTGTATTATAAAAGCAGAAATCCTGACGCCTGGGCTTAACATCTAATGAAATGTTTAATACAGAATAAAATTAAGAGTTTTTGCATTGTGCCATAGGAATTAGAGCTAAAGATTTAACTCCATGGCTGTGTTTGGTGCCTGCTTTTAATGTGGTAGATACCATTTTATGAGATCACCAGATCCCATGAAGGATGCATTGTCGCAACCTGCTAAAAGAATCAGAATTATTTTAGCACCAGCCATTCTCATATCTATCCATCTACCCGTCCATTCCTTCCCTGCCTCCCTTCCTTCCTTCCCTCTCCCTCTCTTCCCTTCTTCCCCTCTATCCCTCCCTCCACTTCCCTCCCTCATCCCCCCCCCCCCCCCTCCCCGACTCAGGTCCCCTGTCCGGACAGCCCCCCCCCCCACCACCACCACTCTATACTTACTGGTCCAGATACAGGGAAAGGGTCCTTTTTTGTGCACCTGTACTCCTAATGAATGATTTCTGTGTTCCCGAGAGTGTTAGGAATTTGTGGCTGCTGATTGTTATTACATGACTTCTTTAGCCTTCTGGTGGAGACTGGCATGAGGAGAGCTGCCTCCATATTTTCTTTCCTTCTCTGAAGTTACCTTATTATCCTTGCCATTTATATTAGCAGAACTAAAAAGATGGGTAAGTAGTTTCCTCGAAATACAAAGCTCAGACCCACATCAAAGAAGTTTCTCAGACATGAAGATGGGGGAAGCAGCAGTGAAACCTGCAGATAGCTCGAAAACAGATGGCCGAGTATCAGGGTGTCACCGAGTCTGAAGAGGAGAGCTGAACACTGCCTATCTCAGCTTCAGTTTTACCGAAATGTTTTTATTTGTCTTTGACCCTTAATTCAACTTACAAGAAATTATCCCCAGGAAAGAATCAGAGACAACAGTAACAATTTATATCCATCTCCATGTTATTTTAAGCACTGAAAAATTAGAAACAGCCCAAATGTATTTCTGTATTCTTTTCTGGGTTTTTTTCTCCCCAGAGTTTATACAATGGCCCTGTCAGTGCAATGAGCAAAATACTTGGATCTATTTTCTTAGCTGCCTTTTAAGTGAATATTTAGCATTAAACATTAGCAAAGATGGTTTCACCAGCTACAGAATGCCTTACCAGGAGTGATTTTATTCTCTGTTCAAGTCTTTGGCTTTCCAGTTCTCTCGCTGAATACAGTCATCAACCCCCTTGGTCCTCATTGCCACTGTGGGGTGGAGTAGGAAGGGCGAAGGCAGCTGCTGGTGCTTGTGGGAGTGAGGGGAGGAGGAAGGGAACAGAGTGTAGAGTCCAGGAAGGAAAAGGAAAGTGAAGAGGGGCGTAGAGATACGTGGTGGGACCCATCAAAATCCCAGTCATTTCAAGTGACCCCAAAACTGGTTTTTTTTTTCTTGTTTTTCATCAATATATATTTTCAAGTATCGACTTTATTCCACCAATTCCTTTTTGCCAAGTATGTTTTTGGATTACTGTTCTATCTCTTCTCTATTACTGTTTCGAGTTCTCCAGATTTGTATTTCATCTTTGTCTTACATTTCTCATTCACCAGTGCCTTTTTAAATCTTATTTTCATGCAAAGATTAAATTTTTTAAATGTTTCTTGCAGCTAAGATTTAATTTTCCTTCTTAGGTATCTTGAAATTCTGCCCTCCTGTTATTTTTGCCTAGTAGTGGCTTTTTCCATCAGCAGGAAGGAAAGCAGTCAATAGAAATCAATTGCTGACTCAGTGGCTATATGGAGGGCTTACCATAATGCATATTGGAAATGCCTTTAAACCTTTTCCTGAATGGAAGGTGCCATGGCTTGTGTTTTATGGCCTTCTAATGGTGGACGGTAATCTCATTTAGCATTTTCCCAGAGTGAAAACAGTGCATTAGAGTAGCATAACAAGCATTGTGGATCAATACAGAGGCAGAGCTTTGCCCTTACAGATTAATCCAAGAAGAATGTACCAGAGTCTACTCCAGCAACTGGGAGACAATTATGCTGATTTCCACCCCTGTTCCCCCCTTTTCTGCTATCTAATCATCAATACACATTGAAATGTATACAAAAAGGATTTCAGCAGATGTGTGTGTGTGTGTGTGTGTGTGTACACACACACACATAGACCAGACCAGCAGACAGGAAATCAAGGACCCTGGAAGTGAGCAGTATTGATTTGTGGTGATAAAAGTATATTTTGACACATTTCAAATCATAAATAACTCATGGACATTAACTTACATGACTAACAGCTCAACTCAGTAAATGTTTATATACAGCTTAAATTACTTCTTTCTAAGGAGTTCATAGTATTGGATGAATTATTCCATCACAAATAGTTTTTTAAAGAAAAAAAGAAACACCCTCTTCTTTATGATGTGTAGTATGTGGAAGCTCATTCTTTACAGTCTTTTTCCTGAATGTTAATGGGGAAGAGCTGAAGAGAAGGTCGGGATTGTTCTCGTCTTCTTTCCCCATCCTCCTTCCTTTGCTTTTAAATCTAAGATATGGTAGAAGAATCGTGGTCCTCAGCACTAGGATAGAACATAACCCTGTTTTCCCATGAACAGTCCTAGGCATTAGTCATGTATTTGCTGGGTTCAGCTGACGTAATGCTTAATTATATTTTATTCAATATTTATCCAGATGTGTGTCTTGCTATAATCAGTAAGTTTGTGGTGTCTGTGCTTCTGCTTTTCGAAGCATAGCTAACTCCCTTTAGATGCTGATGTTCATGGAAGGGAATTAGGGAAATCCATGTCCAAAAAAATTCATAGACATTAGGAACTTTGAAATCTTAGAGAGAATGGAAACTCCAGGGATTGGTTATAAATTCTGTTCTTAGGTATTTGGCAGAGCAGTAAGGTAGTGTTCAATGAAAAAGTAAAAGCGATGTAATGTAAAAGTTGTGGGATTATTATTATTTTTTTTTTCCCTGTATGTCTACTTTCCTTAGAAGGTAGTAAGAAGTAAATTCCCTCAGGGACCAGTAACATGGTTTGCATTTCAGTTTTCTGTACAAGCAAAATAGTATTAGCTTAGTGGGTTGGAGAAAAGTAATGAGACAAATCATCACCCAGGGGTTTCCTTATTGATGAGAAATATTCCCCCTGTATTCTCTAGGGTTTTTTTTTTTTAGAACCCATTTAATATAAAATAATGCTATTTCAAGATTACTACAGAAATAAAAAACTTAAATTGCAAAAAAAGAACTGATATGAAAGACTGGAAGCCTCTTGTACTAAATAAAACTAATTTGAAAAATATGAATTCCTAGATTAAAAGTGATAATATTATGTATTTTTTCTGTGTATGTTTAGTCCTTATAATTCAAGTTCCTCTACCATCTTAACAAGAATATTTCCTTTTCATTGGTATAATTCATTTGGTTGATTTTATTATCATTTTTCAAGTGTATATTTTAAGATTTTTGGAGGCACTTATGTTTGGTAGTGCATATTCACTGAAAGCAAATCTTAACTAAAATCTGAGATTTGTAAGTATAATTAGTAAAATTTTAGCCCAGAAAATTTATAAATGTTTTTTCTCCACCCATTTGTATTCTCAGTAGTTTATTGCATGACTTCTATAACAGTCTTTACTTCTTGGGATTTGCCTCCTAGTAGATGTAGGCTAGTAAATTACACCAGGTTATGGTGTAGTCAGTGTTAAGTGGAAGGTGAAAGAAGTGGTAGAAGAAGCTAATACAGGGTCAGTGGGGTCGCCAAAAAGAGAACAGTAGACTCCACCCTCAATGGAGAGCTAGTGAAGCTGTCTAGAGAAGGTTACACTTCAGTACTTAGCTCAAATATTGAAAGTCGAGTCCTTATTTTCTGGATATATAGGAATGGGTGGGAGTTTGGGTACAGGGCATGTCCAAGATCAAGAGCAGCATGAGCAGAAACATGAAGGGACATGTATAGATCAAACCCTGAAAGTGGTTTGGTCAGGCTGAAGCAATGTAGGGAATGAAGGCTGAAGAGTAGGTGGAAACCTGATCCAGAAGGACTTGCCTGGTTGACCTTGCATTTTGTTTAGAAAGCAGTAGGGAGAGATACGGTCTCAGTGTTAGAACCTTCTGGAAGGCAGGAGTAAAGAGGCAGAAACTAAAAGATTAGTTTAGAGGGCTTTGCCTGATTCCAGGATAAAAGTGATTATGAATTAATGTAATGGCAGTGCATATAGAGAAGGAGGACCAGACTGCATTATCTCGAACTTTGCAACCTGTTGGATGTGGGCATGAAAGAGAGAAGTTAGGGCTCTCAGGTTTTTGATTTGGCTGACTAGGCTGAAGAGTATTGGCACCATTCACCTGATTTAGGTATAGGTTTGGTTGGGAATGTTACAGTGTCCGGAGAGGCTCATGGTGGTATCAATTACTGGAACTAATTTCATAGAAATCATTTTTAGAAACTTTTTTTCTACACTTGCAACATTTATATCTTATGTTTTACATACTCTTTAGCCTTGATCTTCGCTCTGATTGAAGACCGTTTGTCTCACTGGTTCCTGTTTTTGTTTGTAGGCGGTATGAGTTTCGTCCTGTCTGTGCTGATCTGCAGGCCAGAATTCTCCAGTGTTACCGCCAGAATTCCCAGCAGACCCTCGGCTGCTCCGCTCTGGCCAGCCAGTACATGCACTGTGTCCGTCAGGCCAAGCAGGTGGGTGCGCAGGCCCCGCTAACTGGGGCACCAGGAGAAAGCAAGCCCGGCATCGTGGGGCAGGGATAAGGACGGAAGAGCTTTATAAGCCAAACTAGTCGTCATCGTCAAAAATTGCCATAACAGGTCCGTTAGTTAGTAATCAACTTCCGTCCAGCTGGTTGTGGGAAGACCCCATATTCTCCTTGTGTGTAACTCCTTTACTTGCAGGAAAGACAAAGATTCTTACTAAAACAATATTTTTTTCCAGTTGCTTTGAACTTCTGTCCTTTATGATAATTGTGTCCTGAACGCCATTGCCCCATATTTCTTGGCTAATACTCAAAGCCAGCAAAGAGGAAGGATACAAGTTAAGGGGCCAACAGCTTAGGGTCTGTAAGCAGCAAGCAGTTGTGCAGAGAGCCTGGTTTAGAAACACAAAAAACAAACAGAGAGCTAAAACAAAAAGCCACCTTTCGAGTTCCATTCAGTCTTCTACCAGTTGGTAGAGCCCACCGGATTGAGCAGGGAAAGTGAGGCCAGAGATGGGATTTAGGCAACACTTTCCATCACTTTTATGTACCGCAGCCATACTCTTCTTTTGACCCTCCCCCCATTCCAGAATAATTCGATGTTCACAGGACAATGTGTTTTCTCTAATTCACATGCTTTAGAAAGCTAATGATAAACGCTGAAGCAAATGATCAGTTCTGGCAGGTCACATAATTGCCTATCATTTAACTGACTTAACAGTTGGATGTAGGTTGTTCTGACAGAAATTGTTGGAAACCTTGATTCTTTCTGCTGACAGACTCCCTAGAGTTGACCTTCTGACCCAACTAAATCTAGTGTTTGAGTTACACAGCATGCCTTTCTGCAGTCTAATTTGCTGTAGTTATAATAAAACCACTTAGTGTAAATTTCTAACACTATAAATTTCTGATATTTATGGGAGGGTTGGTATTATCTGTGTAGCTGGAAAGTAACATCAACACTAGTAGAAAAAAACATAATCAGGATTTATTAAAAGCCCATGTTTTCTTTAAAAGCCTAGTGGCTTGGGGCACCTGGGTGGCTCAGTCATTAAGCGTCTGCCTTCGGTTCAGGTCATGTCCCAGGGTCCTGGGATCGAGCCCCGCATCGGGCTCCCTGCTCCGCGGGAAGCCTGCTTCTCCCTGTCCCACTCCCCCTGCTTGTGTTCCCTCTCTCGCTGTCTCTCTCTCTCTCTGTCAAATAAATAAATAAAATCTTTTAAAAAAAAATAAAAAAATAAAAGCCTAGTGGCTTGAGGCTTTCTTCTGTTTCTTGCTTGTAACTCCAACTGTGTAATTTCTAGTAGCATGCCAGTGATTCTTTTCTTTAAAGGTCTTTGGTAGAAGTAATGTTGCTAATGTTAAGTTAGTACATTTTATTTGTCAAAGACAGCTTCTGATACGCTCTTAACAAGCCCGAATCTTTAATACTGATACTAACTGACGCACCTGGGACCTGCAAGCGGACTCATGGATTTCTCTAACTTGATATTAGTGCCAATTGAGGAGGGGGTAGTAGTTAGTGCAAAGAACGGCTGTGACAAAGTGTATGTTTCTACACTGGCGTCTGACAAACATGCCTGTTTGCACAATGTGATTTGTAACATTACTCAAGTGGCAACTGCAAGGGTGTATGGAGTTTCAACTTCACCCTGACTATCTGGGTTGTGTTGAATTGTTTGCACCTAGCCCCATGCTATCAGTGGCATATATTTATAGAATAAAACAAAGTTACTTTGTAACAACATCAAATATGCCACACGGTGCAGTAGGGAGTTCAAATTGGGCAGATCTGCGTTTGTATTGAAGCTTTGTCTTTTACTAACTCTGTGACCTTGGGCATTGATTTTTCTCTCTGAATTAGGGTGATGTTATCCCCAGTGTTGTGGGGATTACATTTATATAAAGTATTTGGTAAATCTTATTTTTTCCTTCTTCCCTCAGTTGTGTTATTTCATTTTGAAACCACTAAACAGATCATCCCAAAGCACCAAATTATTACTAGTGATTCCAAAAGAGGACCCCCCCACCCGCCCCAATCTGCAACATAATTTAATATCCTTTCTGTGAAGTGTGTTTTGAGGTACCTGTTGTTTCACAACTCTTATATTCAAATATTAGGGAGCATATAACACCAGGTAATAATACAAAGATAACTGTCCACAAAGTATTTTTACCCTAAGATGGGCAACATTGTAATGGGCAAGAAAACAAGAAGCAATAATACCTTGTATTTCTATAGTACTTTAGATTTCCAGGTGATTTCACATCTATTCTCTTGCTTGTTTTTATGACAACCTGAGATATAAATAGAGACGGTTTTATTTTCATGGTTTTACAGTTGAGAGACTTGAAACCCAGGGAAGTCATGATGGTCAATGTAACAACTAAACCAAGATACACCTACCATAAAAACAAAAAAATTAAGAATGGTGTTTGGTTTTTGAGTTGGGTGTGAGAAGAGACCGCCATTATCCACTAATACAGAAATAAGGCAATGAGAGAAAATGTCAACGATGATCATGAAGTGAAGAGAAAAACATGAATATCAAATTAAGTCGTAATGGAGACTAAAGGTAATAAATAGGGAGGTGGGATTATAAAGGCCATGGACAAAGGTGCAGCTCAGCAAAAAGGTGCCCTATTTTAAGACCACACCAAAATGGCCACAGGGGGTTAATACCAGCATTTCCTGAGCACTTTTCCTCTCATACCACGTTTCCCTTTTTCTCAGTGTGAAGTTTGTCTAACCTTGTGACCCCTGACTCTGCCCATTGTTAGAAGGGGCTTCAGCGGTATAGTGGTTCTGATCGTGCACTGTAGCCGATCCTGACTGGTCAGCTTCCCTTTTGTGTTCCCTTGTTAAATCCAGAGAACCACCTAGACATGCTAATATGTAGAAAATGGTCAACATGACAACAACCCATTAGGTCATGTTGTCCATTTCCGGCATAGTGCAAGAGTTTTCCCCTTGGAATAATTCCAAGAACCAAATCCACTCCACTTTTAAATGACTCATAAGATTGGGCTTTCACTGGTTCCCTTGAGGCACTGTTCTATAGACTAATAGATTTTGCTGATTGGAAAATTTCCGGATATTCCTTAGCCTTATTTTTCCTTTCTTCATGCATTTACTCATATCAATCTTTCTTCAGCTATTCTTAAACAATTCCTCGTGGGTTGATATGAGACATTTAGACTGTTACTTCTAGTATATTAAGTTATGTATTCTTCATAAGGGTAAAGAGGTAATAAATTGCTGTAATTATTATTTCTAAGACTTAAAAGCTACTGGCTAGCTGTATGAGGTACGCCTTTTAAAAATGTAGGAGGACATCGATTGATAGACTGTGTCTTTTATTTCTCATATCAGCTTAGCTTCAGAGCTTTCTATAAACTCCCCAAGATTGAATTACCTGTTCTTACCATGATAACCTGATTCCTATTCAATCTTGGTTCACCTACCTTACAGGAGACTACAGAAGGTGGGAGAGAAATGGGAAGCCAGGGATATTTGCCGCTAGTGGATCAAAATGTACCCAAGTTTTCTTTATCAAAAGGAGGGGAAAGGATAGAGAAAGGGTCCCTCTCAGATCTGCATTGCTCCGTTCCCTGGACACCCCACTGCCCTAATATTTTCTTGCAACATCTGGCTGCTTGGCGGGTAGCATGCTTAGGGGGCAACTCGAAGTATTCCAACTCTTTTCCCAACCCTGACGCTGACAGGATGGTACAGAAGCTGGCTGGACTCTGGGCAAACATTCTTTGTTCCCTGGAAGGTAGAGTTTTGGGGAAATACTGTAGGTAACATTCCAATCTAGTCATGGTGATCTGGGTTTCAGTTTCTTCTTTGCTAAATTATGGGTTTGAACTAGGTGATCCCTGAGGGCCTTCCAGCTGTGATGCTGTGGGACTAATTCTACTTCCACGCATGAGAGCAAGAGTTTGTGTGCACAGGAACAGAACGACACACGTCTCTGAGCACATTTCAGTCAAGAGGCATCTCTAGTATAGGCAGCAGCCCTGCTTTGGGGACCTCCAGCACTTGTGCCTCTGCCTCTTAGATTTTTCTGTCCTCCTTAAACTTGCACTTCTGGTTTTCCTGCATGTTGCCTGGCCTCCCACAGCTATATAGCCTTTCCTTGAAGCTGATGCTCCTGACAGCCCCAGGGAAGCCAAAGTGGTGGAATGAACTAGGGGGGGTAAAAACAGTTTCTCCAAAGGCAGTGTACTGAGAAACAGCTGTCTCAGCACTACCTGGCAGAATGTAGCCTGCCAGCTAATAAACTCCATTAGAAAATGTAGGCTGTCTACCTCTAGCCAGCCCTAGGCTCCCCTGTTCTACAGTGGCTTTCACCTATACTCCATGGATCGTGGGTGGTAAGGGAGTGTAGAGACAGAGCAGGAAGCCAGGTCAGAAGAGCCAAGGAAAGCCTGGGACTAAAAGCAAGGGCCAGACCCAGGGGATGCCTAAGGACAGAGGTCAGTGTGGAGCCTGGAGTCAGATGACAGAGGCCAGTCAGGAGAAGGTAAACCATCACAGAAGTTTAAGTCAACAAGGGGGCAGTGGGTCAATAGCCAAGTAAGCAGCTCAGTTAAAGGAAGGATCTAAACGAGGACATCTTGTAAGTGAGGCAGTGCCTACCTTAGGCCTGTGCTTCCTGCTGGTATCGTTGGGGAGATCAGAACGTCACCCCGTGGTAGTGGAGAGCGTGAGGTCAAGACCCTGGTAAATGAGGCTGGATCTTAATATGAAGTTACTTCAGCCCAATGCTAGTGCATTCAGTTCTTCATTTCCAAAATGAAATGGTACTTCCAGTCCATGGGTAACCCCCAAAATAGAAAACCTGAACTAAGATCAGGGCATAGGGAGGGATTTCCTATGGCAGGAAGTGTCAGCCTTCTTAAGGACATTGCATTTTATCTCCCCTGTGACCTGGGTTTGTGTTAGATGACATCTCAAATACCTCCCTGTTGTCTAAGTGTGAA